TGGCAGGACCAGCAGCAGCCGCCGCTGGAATCGCAACAGCAGCAGCAGCAGATGCTGCTGCGCTTGCTGCACGGGTAGCAGCTGCAACAGCTACAACGGGAAATGCAGCAACAGGTGCTGCACTAGCTAGCCGCCACCGCCGCCCCCGCAGCAGCGCGCCGCCGGCGCTGTGTCTGCAGCGGGGGCCCTGGGGCCTCTCGAGCAGCAGCAGCAGCAGCAGCGGCTCAGATGCGGAGCCCATCGCAGCGCCCCAGCTTCCGTATGGCAGCAGCAGCAACAGCAGCAGCAGCAGCAGCAGCAAAAGCCGCAACGGCAGACAAGCAGCACACTGCGTAGCGCCTGGCTTCTTGGGGGCCCCCCAAGCAGCAAGTCCAAGGGGCCCCCTGGAGCCTCAGGGGGCCCCTCTGGAGGCTGAGAGGACCCCCGCAGTTTTGCACAGCAATGAAGGACGCAGCACAGTTGCTGCTGCTGCTGCTGCTGCTGCCGAGGCAGCAGCCGATGCCCCAACGCCGCTGCTCCTCGAAGCCCCCACTGTTTTCGGCTGGTGGAGCCCCACAGGTCTTTCCAGTGAGCAGCAGAAGCAAGGTGCAGGGCAGCCACATGAAGCACAAGAGCTGCAGCAGGCAACTAACGGGCTGCAGCAGCAGCCGCAGCAGCAGCGCGAGGTGGAACAGCAGCAGCAACAGCCTGCGCATATTCCAGAGCAACGAGTGGGAATGCAGCAGCAACACGAAATGCAGCGGCAACAGCCACAGGAGCAGCACGAAGGGCAGCAGCAACCGCATCAAGCGCAGGCGAATCTCGAACAAGAGCCAGAGGAAGAGCAGCAGGAAGTTCAGGAGAATCCGCAGCAGGAGGTGCAGCAGCAGCTGCAGGAGCCGCATGAGCTGCAGCAGCAAGTCCAGCAGGAGCAGCCGCAGGAGCAGCACGAGCTCCAGCAGGAAGCGCAGCAGCAGCAAGTGCAGGAACTGCAGGAAGATCTCCAGGGCCTGCAGCAGGAAAAGCAACAGGAGCAAGTCCAGCAGCAGCAGGAACTGCAGCAGAAGCAGCAAGAAGCGCAATGGGAGCCACAGAAACAGCCGGAGCAGGGGCAGCAGGAGGCAAATCAGCGGCGGCAGGACACGGAAGAAACGCAGCAGCAGCAGCAGCAAGAAGTGCAGCAGCAGCAGCAAGAAGAGCGGCAGCAGCAAGAGCAGCAGCAGCAGCAAGAAGTGCAACAGCAGGAGCAGGAGCAGCAGCAGCAGCAAGAAGTGCAGCAGCAGCAGCAGGAGCAGCAGCGGGTGAAAGAGCTCGAGACAGTAGCGGAGGACTTGAACTCTGGGGGCCCCTCTAGTGACCCTCTGGAGGGGCCCCCGGCTACGGAAGATTGCGAAAAGGGCACAGGAAGGGGGGCCACCAGTGGTTCTGCTGCCGCTTTGCTGCTGCATCCTTGCAGGGAGGGGCCCCCACCAGAGGCCGAAGCAGACTCAGGCAGTCGGGTTGAAGGTCTCCCAACGGAGCAGCAGCATCAGCAGCAGCAGCAGCAGCAGCAGGGGCAGCAGCAGCAAGAGCATCTTTCTTTAGGGGCCGTTTTGGTTGAATCAGATAAAGAAGAAGCTGCAGCAAAGACAAATTTGCCTCCAGATGAGGAAAAGGGCACAGGGGGCCCCTCAGAGGGGCCCCCAGAAACAGCTTTGGCGGGGGCCCCTGGGGGGCCCCCCAATGGCTGGGAAGTGCTGGACCTCGAAGGGGATGAGATTGTGCTTTCAGATGATGGGGCCCCCGGGGACCCCCAAAAGGGTCCCCCGCAGACCCCTTTTTGTGTTCCCCCTCTGGTTGTTTCCTTAGCAGACTCTGAGGGAGAGTCAGGGCCTTCTCCCTGCCCCTCAATGCTGCAGCAGCAGCAGCAGCATGTGCAGCAAGAGCTGGAAGCAGCAGCAGAGACAGATGAGAACCTTCCCCAGCAGCAGCAGCAGCACAGCCATGTGGTGCTCTCTGAAGAGAGCAGCCCAAAGCGCGAGTCGCTTTCCCCTCTTTCGCGCCCCAGGACAGCAGCAGCAGCAGCAACAGCAGCAGCAGCAGCAGCAGTAGGTGGCCCCTCTGCTTTGTGGTTTAGAAGTTTGGGCGATTTGGGCCTCCAGGGCCACCGGCCAGCAGCAGAGCCGCGGGTGTCGCGCTGCGGTGTATTGACAGCTGGTAAGAATCGGGGGCCCCACACTTTTTGAATTTTCTCTTTTCCTTGAGCAGCTGCTAATGTGCAATTTGCTGCTGCAGCTGCAGCTGCTGATTTGCTGCTGCAGCTGCAGCTGCTGATTTGCAATTTGCTGCTGCAGCAGCTGCAGCTGATGATGTGCAGTATGCTGCAGCTGCTGCAGCTGGTGCTATACAATTTGCTGCAGCTGCTGCAGCTGCTGCAGCTGCATGTTTGCAAGTAGTTTCTTCATATTTTCCAAAATACACCGGGCAAGTCCCTCAAGAATACTCAAAGAAATCATTTTTGCTTCCTTTCTGGCTGCTGCAGCGGAAGTCGAAGCAGCAGAAAAACTCTTGAGGGGCCCCTCAGAAGGGGGCCCCCCGGGGGAAAACCCTTCAGGGGGTCCCCCCGAAGAAGGCCCTTTTAAAGCCCGCTTTGGCATTTGCCTCAGCAGGTGAGAGAAACTCGCTTTGCTGCGCAACAAGGGGGGCCCCGCTACTGCCTGAGGGGCCCCCTTGTGGGGGCCCCCTTGGAGGGGCCCCCTTGTGGGGGCCCCCTTGGAGGGGCCTGCTGGGTGAGGCCCCCTGAGGGGAGCCCTCTTGGTTGGGGCCCCCTGGGGGAGGCCTCCTTGCTGCGTAGAAGAGCTGCAGTTTGCTGCAGGGGCCCCTCGGTCCCCTACAGGAGCTGCTGGTGCATGTAGGGCCCCCCAAAAGGCCCCGGTTGTATGCACTTGTGGGGATTTGTGTCTCAGAAAGTCTCTTACTTGTTTGGGCTGCGGGGGCCTCTTAGATGATGAAGTTATAAACTTGTACTTCGCGCTGCTGCAGGAGAGAAACAACAGGGCCCTTTTTTCTGGAGAGAGGTTTGCAAACCCTAAACCCTGAGACAGCGAGGCCTCACTGTGGGGCGGACTTTAGCGTTTAGGGTTTATGCCTGAGGCTTTAGGGTTTAGGGTATAGGGTTTGCGGCTTGCTTTTGGTACAGGGTTCCCCGGTGTTTGCTGCTGCCGTCCCACTTCCACAGCTCCCTGTCTTCTTACGGGTTTTCTGCTGTGCGGGTGAGGCCTCGGGTTTAGGGTTTAGGGTTTAGGGTTTAGGGTTAAGGTTTGTGGCCCACAGCTCCCTTTTTTTCTTGCAATGAGCCCAGCGCTCTGCAGGAGATCTTGGTTTTGCTTTTCGTGCCTTTTGCTGCCCCTCCGGGTCCTAGCCTTCAACATCTAGGGTTCAGGGTTTAGGGTTCAGGGTTTAGGGTTTGAGGCCTAGGGTTTAGGGTTTGTGCTGCGTGGCTGCAGCGGTGGACGCTGCGGGGCTCCATCGACATTTTCTCTTACGACATTTTGCTGCTGCCTGTCCACGTGACAGAAAGGGCCCACTGGGCTTTGGGTTGCGTCTTGCTGCAGTAAGCAGCAGCAGCAGCAGCAACAGAGGGGCCCCCTTAAACATTTGGGGCCCCCCCAGGGCTTTTGGGGGGCGCCTACGGCTCCTTAGGGGCCCCCAAGGCACCGTAGGGGCCCCCAGTGGTCCTTAGAGGCTCCCAATGGTCTTTGGGGGCCCCTAGTGCTTCGTAGGGGCCCCCACTGGTTCTTAAGGGTCCCCAAAGCTCCATAGAGGCCCCAATGATTCTAATCAAACACTTAGCAGCACGAACGGAGAGCAGCAGCAGCAGCGGCAGTAGCAGCAGTGCGCTGTGTGTGCGCAGGTCAAAGAAAATTCTGTATTTGGATTCTCTCCGTAGCGACGAAGACGCCGTGAAGTGAGTTGCTTTCTTTGTTGAGTGTTTAGGGTTTTGGGGTTTTGGGTCTAGGGTTTGCGGGGGCTAGGGTTTAGGTGTAGGCCGCAAGGCTAGGCTTTGGGGCTGGGGTTTAGGGACTAGGAATAAAGGCTAGGGTTTAGGCGCTAGGGTTTAGAGGCGAGAGTTCGGGGCTACGGTTTAGGGACGAAGTTTTACGGCTAGGGTTTAGGGGCTAGGGTTTGAGGTAACGGTTTAGTGGCGGCCGCGTAGGGGGCTAGGGTTTTGGGCTAGGGTTTAGGGCTCGAGCTGCGGTGTAGGGTTTAGGGTTAGCGTTTAGAGCTAGGGTTTGGGGCTAGGGCTGAGGGCTAGGGCTGAGGGCTAGGGTTTAGGACCAGGATTTGGGGCTAGGGTTTTGGGCTAGGGTCCAGGGGTGGAGTTTGTTTCTAGGGTTTAGGGTTAGGGTTTAGGGTTCAGGGCTTGGCTGTGTGCAGCTTCTACAAGGAAATGCGCAGCTATTTAGTCGCGGAGCATCTTGACAAGAAAAGGCAGCCATCTGCTGCTGAGGACTGGCGCGGCCTGCTGCCTGTAAACCCTAAACCCTAAACCCTCGCTTGCAAACGCTAAACCCTCTCTCGCAGCCCCCGCTGCTGCAAACCCTAAACCCTTGGCTGCAAGCCCAAAACCCTTGGTTGCAAGTCCTAAACCGTCGGCTGCAAACCTTAAACCCTCGGTTGCAAACCTTGCTCCCGTGTTTGCAAACCCTAAACCCGTTCTTGCAAACCCTAAACCCTTGACCGAAGCCCCTGCGCCTTCGCTCTGTGACCCTTGTTCGGTCTCTTCTTTGTTTGGTTTCATCTCTCTATTTGTGAGCCTCTTCGATTGATTTGCTGTTTGATTGCCCGTTTGTGTGCCTGCCACTGCCGCTACTTTGCTGCTGCTGCTACCCTGCTGCTGCTGCTACCTTGCTGCTGCTGCTGCTGTTACCCTGCGGCTGCTGCTGCCTTGCTGCTGCTGCTGTAACGCTGCTGCTGCTGCTGCTAACCTGCTGCTGCTGCTGCTAACCTGTTGTTGCTGCTGCTAACCTGCTGCTGCTGCTGCTGCGCTGCGGCTTGCAGCACGGAGTGCCGCAGCAAAACAACGCAGTGGACTGTGGGGTCTTTTGCTGCTGCTTGGCGGAGTGTATAGCCGACGGGCGGCGCCTTCCGGAGTTTTTCTCTCCTGAGTCTGTGAAGGCTTTTAGGCTGCACATGGTGAGTTGCTGCTCCATTTCATTCATTTGCTTTTATTTGCTGCTGCTGCTGCTGCTCTTGCTGCTCCTGGTTCTGATGCTGCTCTTGTTGCTTCTGCTGCTGCTTTTGCTGCGCCTGAGTCCGCTTTTGCTGCTGCTCCTGTTGCTTTTGCTGCCGCTTCTGCTGTTGCTGTTCCTGGTGCTTCTGTTGCTGCCTTTGCTCCTGCTGCTGTTCGTGCTGCTGCTGCTCCTGCTGCTGCAAAGCCACCTGTTTGCTTCTTTCTCTAGGGCCCCTTGAACTTGTGCTGTTTTGAACTCTTTGCCTTTCCTTATGGGCCTCAGGTTCTCCAGCTGCACCGAGGCCTCATAGAGTGAACCCTTAGTACCAAAAGGGGCCCCCCAGGGGCCCCCAGGGTCACTCTTGAGACTTTTCGGGGGTCCCCCCTGCCTTCTGCGTCTACCCTGGCCTAATGGTGGGTCACCGGGGGCCCCCCTCTGTTGCAAACCTTCCGGGGGGCCCCTAGGGCCTCTTCTGCTTCATTTTATTTTGTTCTTAGCTTTCGAAATTCCCTTTCGGGTTTTCTTGGGGGCCCCCCGCGGCCTAGGGTTTAGGTGAGGGGCCCCTGCTGCGGGTTGCAGCCAGCTGTGGCTGTGGCACA